GCCTCGCTGTGGTGCTACCTGGGAGTGGAAGGGCCATACTGGTTCCTAACCTACATTCTGAGCACCACTAACCTTACCCCTTGCAGGAGGCCCAAGCATATGCAGATGATAACAGCTTATTGTTTATGGAGACCTCAGCCAAGACAGCCATGAACGTCAATGATCTCTTCCTGGCAATAGGTAAGGTCAGAGCAGCCTGGGCGGGATCCCTAACCCAAATCATAAGAATAAATGGAAGTGTCTCCTTGTGAAAACTTTGGGTGTGGAAATACCTTCACTTTCCATTATGACCTCCGTCCTTTAGCTGCAGCTTGAGCACCGTTGTACTTAATGTAGTTTATAAATGGTAAGGCTTCCTGTTTTCAGAACATTCTTCCAGTATCTCATTTTCCCCCTTCCCATTACTTCCCCCCTACCCAATAGTCTTTGTGGGGGGGGATGAATTAAAATCTACCATACTTTGTTCCCTTCTCTTTTTTGCCTCTAGCTAAGAAGTTGCCAAAGAGTGAACCCCAGAATCTGGGGGGTGCAGCAGGCCGAAGCCGAGGCGTGGATCTCCACGAGCAGTCCCAGCAGAACAAGAGCCAGTGTTGTAGCAACTGAGGGGGAGGCTAGCAGCAAACAAGTATGGAGCTAGCACGAGAGCTAAAAAATAACCTCCATTCCCACCCCTCAGCACACAGCCCCTACGGTAACAGCACACTGAGCCCTGGCTCCCAAGGGCTGCCTCCTGACAGCTCCGTCATGGCACTTTTTAACGCTTCAGCAACCAACACCAGGCAGCTGTTGCCACTGACCTCCAGCCCCTACTCTGGGACTTGGGGGGTCAGGTCTCCCAGGACTTACCTTCCAAAACCAACTTTCTTCACTTTGTATTATAGGTGCAAGACAGTGACCTACTTACCTTTCCTCCTCCCAATTTTTTCAGAAAACATTCTTTGGTCTCCTGCCCCTTCTGCTTTTGGTCAACCCCTGTTCTTGATCCCCTTTTCCTCCTTTCTCCAGGATGGAGAAGGTGGTGAACCCAGGAACTGAGGAAGGACGTTTCCAATTCAGTCACATTAAGGGCCCTGGGCGAGAGTAAGGCTCAGAGCAGAAGGGAGTAAGGAAATTTCCTTTTTTGGTTTTATTTGGTTGGAGTTTCTCATTTGAAAACACTGCAGTATCCATGAGTCAGCCTTGTGGAAGGTATTTCAAGGTAGAGTGAGAATGGGAGGCAAGCGTGCAGGCACCAGGTGAGAGTTGTGTTGTCAGCTAACTGGGCAGAGGTGGAGGAGGAGGTGGAGATGCAGTGTCATCCATGGCTCCTGAACTCTTCCAAGGCCTAGTGTCCCCTTACTCAGTCTCTTAGGTAGCTTCTCCTTCGTACTGGAGGAGATGCTGGACCCCAGAGTCCTCCAAAGACTTCGCTGGTTGTCTGCGTCTTTGGCTCTGCTGTGATCTAATTGGAGGAGGGACCAGTTTCTGATATCCATCCTCTGATTTATACATACGCATTTTTTTTCTCTCTGGCCTTTAGATGGCCTCAAACCCAGCCACTATATCCCCCTGCAGTTTGCACTTTAATTGATGGTAGTTCAGTTGGGACACTTGTTTTATGGGGGTTTTGATTGATTTACCTGCCCTCTCACTTTTTTAATTAAATGGAATCCAAGATATATATGAGGTTTGGTGAGGGACTGTAGAGAACAGTATCAGTGGCAGCTACTCAAGCCCAGTCTCCACTGCGAGCTTCCTCCAACTCTGATTCTTAACCTACATCCGTGACAGCCTAGCTCTCGGGTGTAGGTTTGCCTTTCCGAGGGAATTAACGGAAGCAACTGGAGAGTGGTCTCAGGATAGCACGGGCCATGGAAGGGGGTGAGGAGGAGTAAGGCAAGAGGGAGGAGTTTTCTCTGCTTTCCCAGGGTTCATGTTCAATTCGATCCACCCGTCACCATGTGTTTTCTACTTCCCTGTAAATAAGTATGATCTTTATTCCCACTGTACAGTCTGTTCTCAATGCCCCCCCCCCCAAAATCAGGCCTTATTTCTTTTCTTCTTGGTTAGTATCTTCAGTTTAGTCCTTCTGTGCTTATCCCCATACTCATCCCCCATGCAACCAGTGGTTTAATCCAAGTACCACTAGGGACTAGTACCACAGGCCTGCTGGTGGCCCCCTTATAACACCTGTCCCTGTGGTGAATGACTGGCACTGAAAATCCCCTCATATCACCAGATGTTGGTCCCTTCTAAATCTCTAGCCTCTCTACATCCCTCATCAGGTATTTTAGGATGTCTTTGGGAAGCCATCAAGGCAGGAGAGAATTCTAAACTCCTTGTTCCAGCCTAGAGTTTTGTGAAAATTGGGGGAAGTAATGTAGGAAAGGCTTCAGTGAGGGCCTCGGTGACCTAGGATTGGAACCATTCTGCCCTTTTGGCTTGCAGACTTCCTTCTGTCCCAGAGCAGCTGAGAAATCCATGAGGCTGAGATTCTGAAGGACCCAGTTTAAGTTCTTCCCCTTAGGTCTCAATTCCCTTCCTTTTCCAGGGGCAGCCTTATTTCCTGTGGCCCTGAAACACATACATTTTTGCCTTCCTCTCCCAGCACCCCACTAAGCCCCCAAGAACACCCAGTACATTCTCATAAGTGGAAGAACTAGGGTGGTTCTCCTAAGTCTCGTAGAAATGAAGTTCTCTCTCTGCGCAGCTTTCCCCAATGGAGCAGGAGTGAGAATGTTTCATTGCCTTGGGTCTGGGAAACCATTTATCCAGGCTTCTCCCCTCTCCACCCCCCTTTAGGATTGGCCTTGGCTTCTGGGCCTGTCTGCTGCCTTCCTTCTACTTCCTACCAGCTCTCTGCTTTCATCTGAGCTCTGTTGGGCTTGGGGATCTTTGTTTTTATTTCCAAGCTCTTCATTTTTCTCTCTTGATCAGTTTTTTGGGGGGTCCTTTTTCTTCTTCTGAGAAAGCATTTGCCTTTCCCCCCCTTCTTCCTCTTCCAACATAACAATCGTGGTAACAGAATGCGACTGCTGATTTACCGATGTATTTAATGTAAGTAAAAAAAGGAGAAAAAAAAAAAGAAAAGTGTATTGGAGTGTTGCTTCTTCTTTTTTTAACTTTGACTGATACTAGAAATTTGGGAGAAAAGGCACCCAATGTTTTATTGGATCAAAAACACACCCTCCCCTGCACCAGTTTTTGTTGTTGTTTTAATCCTCACCTGATGACATTTTTTCATTGGTTTTGATTTTGTTTTTTGGGGTTTCTTTGGTGGTGGTGGGAGAGGAAGGGAGAGAGTGGGAAACGTCAACTGGTTGCATCCATACGTGCCCCATCCTTTTGGTTCCTGGGATGATGCTCCAATCAGTGGAGCCACACCAGTCAGGTGCCTGCATCTTGGTGCCTCCTAATTACCTCTAATCTTTTCTTGAATAGTGAAATAACCCAATTTGAAAACTTAGCCTCTTTATTACTGTTCAATCACTCCTATTCCCAAATCACTGAAGTGCTCATCAAATCTGACCATAGCTCATTTTTCAGGTCCTCTTACAGTTAAGAGAGTGTGTGTGTGTGTGTGTGTGTGTGTGTGTGTGTGTGTGTGTGTGTAATATATGTGGCGGGGGAGGGCATCTGTAGACCTTTGGGCAAACAGTTGATGAAATTGGAGAGGTGGAATTTGTGACTCCTTTGAAGTATTATGCAAAAATTTATGTGCATTTCTGTAGGGAGAGGGTCCTTTGCCTTATTAATATCTCAGAGGGGATCATGACCCAAAGTTTTGTTTTGTTTTGTTTTGTTTTAATCACTGAACTAGCGTTTCTGACTGATCATGTGGCTTTACCTCCCCACAGGAAAATTTCTCCTGGATCTGTCGTTTCCTACAGTATGTGAAGCCTTTCATCTGTCACAGTCTAAGTGGACTTGGGTGGGGGGAATAATACAGAGAAAAGACTAGATATGGTTGCAGGAGGAGTTTTCCAAAGAATCAGAAAGACAGGGAAGAGAACTGGTTGGTGCCAAACAGACCCCGCATTCCAGTCCTGCCTCTGCCAACTCACCAGTTAGGTCCTCAATCAGTTACTTAGCTGCTTTCTGTAAAATGAAGTTGAGGTTTAAAGGACAGTTATTTGCAGCATGTGTGTGGCACACGAAGAAATAACTGTTTTTAGGGAGAAATATTATCCATTCCAGTGGCTCCAGGTGGTCCCTAACTGACTTTGTATCCTTGGGTTGAGCCTGTTTTTTAAAACTGGTGAGACAGGTCTTGCAAAGGGACTCTCCACTGATTTAATTGTACATAGTTGGGTTGGAAATCTATTTCTAAAAACCTGAAAGCCAAAATCACCTATACAGTGTCATTTCTCCTTTCTGTATATTTCTTACTACTCTCCCGTGACGCCCACGAGTCCTTGATTCCTGGTAAAATCTGTAGTTCAGGAGAGCAGATAAAGGGAGGGGAAAATGATCTTCAAAAATTAAAGATAAAAACCTTCAAGGCAGGTTGTAGCTCAACCTTCTGTTCCCTAGAGGGCAGTGTAGATACGTTTGTTCGAGGTTCACAGCTGACCAGACAAGTCCTGCACCAAATGCTAAAGGGGCAATAGTAAATGATTTATTTCTATTAAGTGTCTCTTGCTCTGAGACTATGAGTAATTATACTCCTCCCAACTTGGGGTGTTACGTCGTTGCTCTTGTTAAGTGATTTTGAAAAACTGACATAACTACTCAGCCGTGGCTGCTGTGGCTCCTTGGATTGAGTGCCAGCTTGCTAATTGACAAGTTGCGGGTTCCATTCACAGGCAGAGCACGTACCTGGGTTGCGGGCCAAGTCCCCAGTTAAAAGTAAATGTTTAAACATTGACTTACTAATTGAAATAAAAAAGATGGCTATTCAGTGTTGCTGGTTCCATGATTTGGGGGGAAATTCAACGAGTCCGAGGAATCTCCAAGTCTTTAAACCACTATTTAGGTTTTGTTTCTGCTTTCATTCTTGTCTGTAAGAGAATTGATCACTTGACCTTGTTGTCTCTAAAAGACAAACAGCTGTTGAAGCTACAACATAGAAGTTTGTCAAAAGCAGGGTAGGGGCGACCCTCCCACCCGCAGAGGGCGGGATTCTGAGGCCGCCTCCAGTGAACGCACGTTGAGCCTCTGCTGTAGGGGTGGCGCGGGGCGGAGCCATCTCAAAGTTGCCCACCTTTTAAACCCAATCTTTGGGGTCTTCATTACTTTTAACTGCTTGGGCTCCCACATCAGTGAGGGTGCCATTCCTTGTCCCCCGTGGGTAAAACAAAAACCTGCTCTAGCTTCAAGCCCTGGGGGCATCCCGCCTGCTGCGGCCTCCAGGGGGCGGGCACAGCAGCTAGAAGAAGTACACGCCCGCCAATGGTTGGAGGCGAGCAGGGGAAAGGGATGCTCCTTAAATCCCAATGTCACATGACAGCACTGGCCCCGCCCCTTTACCTGCAGTGTTGCAGTGGACCGGTCTTTCTGGCGTACATCTAAAAGGGTAAGAGGTTTGGGGCCAGGAGAGGGAAAAGGAGGGGGAAGGGCTGGTGACCTAGGCGACGGCGCGGTCCTTGGCGCCCAAGGATCCTTCAAACCCCGAGGACAACAAAACTGCCAGGACCTGCCTCCACTCCGGCTGTCAGGGTGCTCCTTCTGGAGCACAGGGTGTTGCTACAAAAAAACTTTTGCCGGCTCTGGGTAGTGGCATGAGACCACATGCTTGTGCCCCGGTGCTGGACATATCCTACCTAAAGTGCCTCTGAGGAGTGGCATCTGTTATACAGCTACCTCTTCCAAAACCTGGGACACTGAACTGAGTTCACCTGCAGGTTAACCCAGTCTGGTTCAATGGGCTACTGTGCTGAGGGATGGTGGGAGGGAGAGAGGCCCGTAGCTCAGAAGTAAAAATGCAGACTCTGCTCCTACTTCTTTCTCCCTTGCAGTTTCTCTGCCTGTCCCACTCTTTCGCATCATCGGCAATTGGGACTTTTCTCACCCCTACGCAGTTGGGCCTCCTGGGGTCAGTGATCTGCTCCGTGTTGTGAAGAAGAAAGTACTGCAGGGCAGAGAGCAGAAAAATTACCTTCTTCTCTAGCCCATCCCCTGACAGCCTGGCCATTAACTCCTCAATTTGCTGAGCTCCCTGGATGGCATAGACAAGGTAGAGGTGGGTACCTGGGGTTGGGGTCCAGGTTTTCTTTTTAGGGTGGGTGGAGAGAGGAGGACACTGCAAGGCCTTCAAATATACTGTTAGTACCTGTTTACTGGTCACGGTGCTGTGCTAGGTAGATCTCATTTCATAGATGAGGAGGCAAGTTCAGAGCGGCTTCATGATGTTGCCCAGAGAACAGGGCTGACTAATGGCAGGGCCAGTTTCACAAACCCAGAGCAGTTAGACTCCAGAACCTGAGCTCCTTCACCCCAATAGGCTACCACCACCTTTTCCACCTTTTGTCCCTGTTTAAAAGGCAGTCTGACCTTCAGTTGTCTTCTCCTGACTTCAGAAATAAACTCTGCCATTTTAGACCCACGAGTAGACTAGAGGATGGGAGATGTATGATTCGAGAAGACTCCTATTTCTCCCCTCGCTCTCCCCCCTCCCCATTCCTTTTCATCTTGTCAGTACAGTCTGTCTCTAAAGAGTTCTAGTTTTTCTCTAAGGGCTCATTTGGACTCCCATTCCTACCCTTTGGCCTCATTACCACAGAAAATCTCCATCTGACCTCCTCTGTGTCTTCTCCCACCCACCTATTCCCTCACACTGTCCTAATATCATCCCCTCCCAGGAATTCCTATTGATCCCAGAACCTTCATCCTACACGTCTGCCACAATGCTGCTGTTGCACAGAGCTATGGTCCTGGGCCTCCGACAAGCCTGCAGGTAGGCCACCCCATCCTAGTCTCCTAGCCCCTAACCCCCCTCCCAGTATCTTTATAATATCTTATCTGCCAGGTAAGATAGTTGAGATGTTGGCCAGAAAGGAAAGCTAGATCCCACTTGTCCCACCCATCGCTGGAGAAACTAAGTTCCAACTGAATGCACCAATGGCCAAGCAGGGAGAGGTAAACCCAGACCTTCACTGCTCAGATGTATGCTACTAAAAAGATCTTTTTCTCTTCCAGACTCAAGTGTACCCACTCGAGGCTCTGCATTCAGGTCTGCTCTACAAATGATTCATTTCAGCTCCAGTGCCCCAGCCTTGCCTTCTCTAGAGATAAGTCCAGCACCAGGGGATGGAGAGTCATGGGGACCCTGCTAGGCTTTGGGGCAGTGTTGGCCTATCATGACCACCATTGCAGGGTAAGTGGGAAAGGAAGAGACTTCACTGTCAGAACAAAGGGATCCTAGTGAGCATCCCAGGCAAGCCAGGCTGTTACCACTGTCTTTATATACAGTGGAGATGAAATCTGCTAGCTCCATTTCCCAGTGGCCATGACTTTGTGCATTGGCTTAGGTTAAGCTATAGTGATTTCTTCTTAATATTCTGTTCCCTTTTACTTCACCCCTGCCCTGCCTGCAGGCTGCTCAGGACTCACCACACATATACACGAAGGAGGAAGTAAAATCCCACAGCAGCCCTGAGACTAGGATCTGGGTGACTCTGGGATCTGAGGTTTTTGATGTCACAGAATTTGTCGACCTACACCCTGGGGGGCCATCAAAACTGATGCTGGCAGCTGGGGGTCCTCTAGAGCCCTTCTGGGCCCTCTATGCTGTTCACAACCAGTCCCACGTACGCGAGATACTAGCTCAGTACAAGATTGGGGAGCTGAGCCCTGAAGACAAGGCACCGTCCACCTTGAAGACCTCTGACCCTTTCGCTGATGATCCTATCCGTCACCCAGCTCTGAAGGTCAACAGCCAGCGCCCCTTTAATGCAGAACCCCCCCCTGAGCTGTTAACAGAAAACTACATCACACCCAACCCTATCTTCTTCACCCGAAACCACCTGCCTGTACCTAACGTGGACCCAGACACCTATCGCCTGCATATTATAGGACCACCTGGGGGTCAGTCACTGTTGCTATCCCTAAGTGACTTGCACCAGTTCCCCAAGCACGAGATCACAGCCACTCTACAGTGTGCTGGCAACCGGCGCTCTGAGATGAATCAGGTAAAAGAAGTAAGAGGTCTGGAGTGGAGTACAGGGGCCATTAGCACTGCACGCTGGGCCGGAGCACGACTATGCGATGTGTTAGCCAAGGCTGGTCACCAACTCCAGGATACCGAGGCCCATGTCTGCTTTGAGGGACTGGACTCAGACCCCACAGGAACTGCCTATGGAGCATCCATCCCTCTGGCTCGGGCCATGGACCCTGAAGCTGAGGTCCTGTTGGCATATGAGATGAACGGGCAACCTCTGCCTCGTGACCATGGCTTTCCTGTGCGGGTGGTGGTTCCTGGTGTGGTGGGTGCCCGCCATGTCAAATGGCTGGGCAAAGTGAGTGTGGAACCAGAGGAAAGTTACAGCCACTGGCAGCGACGAGATTACAAAGGCTTCTCTCCATCTGTGGACTGGGACTCTGTAGATTTTGACTCAGCTCCATCTATTCAGGAACTTCCTGTCCAGTCAGCCATCACAGTGCCGAAGGATGGGGAGATAGTAGAGTCAGGAGAGTTGATTATCAAAGGCTATGCATGGAGTGGTGGTGGAAGGGCTGTGGTCAGGGTAGATGTGTCTCTGGATGGGGGCCTAACCTGGCAGGTGGCTGAGTTGGATGGGGAGAAACAGTGCCCCCGAAAGGCCTGGGCCTGGCGGCTATGGCAGCTTCAAGCCACTGTGCCACCTGGGAAGAAGGAATTGAACATCGTTTGTAAGGCTGTAGATGACAGTTACAATGTGCAGCCAGACACCGTGGCCCCAATCTGGAACCTGCGAGGCGTGCTCAGTAATGCCTGGCACCGTGTCCACGTCCATGTCGCCCCATGAGAAGGTGAAATGGAGCCATCTACTCCCCAGAACCACCTTTTCAGTGCCTTTCCACACCCATCATTTAGCCTCATTTCCATGGCAAAGCCTTTCCATCTCTGCTCTTTGAATCAGAATGTTGTACTGTGCTTCCTCAACCACACAGGTACACAGTGCACTTTTCCATCCAGGCAAAACCCTCTTTTGATACTGCTACCTGTTTCTGGCCACTGACCCTGTGTCAGGAGGTGAGAGCCATCAGAGAAAGGGGCTAAAAGTGGGAAAAGTATTTCCGGAAAAAAAGTATTATTTTCCCTTCCTCCTGCACCTCCATTTCTAATGTTTATCACCACCGAGGCCTTATTTTGCTTTTCTTCTTGGATTCTTCAGAGAATGTGGATATATGTAAGCTTAAAAAGTAGCTATGTGACTTCCTATTGCCTCTCTGGATTGCCAGGGGTATGAGTAGTGCAACCCTCTCCCTTTATAATTACACTTTTCTAAATATTTCAATAAAGCATCTGTTTAAGACTACAACACTAAAAAAAGATGATGATTTTTGGGACGTCTTGAGACTGAGTGAGCATGTTGCCTGAGGGATGTGCACTGGTACTGGGATGTGTAGTGAGAAAGATAATCCAAAATAAAAGCTGGAGGAAAGGAAGAAAGGGAACAGGTGCAGGGAAGTCAGGAAGTGGGGCTTCCTTCTCAGAGGTTTGTCAATATCTGCTGCTTAGGTGACTGACCTCAAGATATCCCCGGAGAGAGTAAAACATTTTTGCCACTTTAAGTCCCTCCCCTCAGTTCCTAATGCGCACTTGACGGGAAAGGTACATAGCTAACAGGTTAAAGTCAATATTGTCTTGAGGTTCAGGGGCAAAATTTGGCCTTAGGGGCACATGTGCCAGGACACGTGAGGTGTCCAGTGGGCTCCCAGTTTGAAAATCAGATGCAGATGAAGGGGCAGCCATTGAGTTACACTCTGCAAGAGACCCCGCCTTTAGGACTTGAATCTTTCGGTGCTCAGCTACTCTCCCCTAGCTCTTCCTTTCCCAGCAGTTTCCACGGCTGGGGGCGCTCGGTATTCGGCCACGCCGCCTGTCACCTCGTAGTGGGACCGGAAGTTGTTCAGGGGAGGGGAGACGGCTGTGATGGGGGGGACTTATGGGGGGGCCGTCCCTCTTCAGGTGAAGCCGCTGATGGAGATGGAGCCGCGGCCACCACTGAGTGCCTGGGTCCAGGCTCCGGCCCGGTTTCCACCGCCTCAGTGACCCCCCCACTCCCCCCGCACTGGACCGCCCGGGCCAGAGTAGGGGGCCCCCCGCTGCCCCGCCTCCCTCTCCCCCAATACCGTCCCCTCTCTCCTCTCTCTCTCACTCTCATCCCCACCCCCCCACGGCCTGCGCGCGCGCGGAGCTGCCTCAGGTGAGTGGGGGCGGGGCTTGGGTGAGCTGGGGGCGGGGCCTAGTCGGATGGGGCGGGGCTTGAGGGGCTTGGGTTTGAAGTAGGGACGATTTGGACGGAGCTGGCAGCAAGAGTGTTGGCGGGTGGGTTACAGACTTAGGGGAGAAGGCTGGACCTGGGGAGTTTGGTGCGAGGCCCCAGGGTTGAGGGGGTGGTAGTAGGGACCCAGGGGTCCTAAAAAGGCAGGAGACGGATTAACGCGGAGTACATGTAAAGGCCAATGTTCCGGAGGTTCTTCGGTAGGGTATGGCTGGGGTAGAACAGAGGGACGCGGCGGGGTAAGGAGAAGCAGAGAGTATTGCGGGGGGGGGGGGGGGACCAGGGACCCTAGGGTTTGGTCGAGACGGTTGGAGGGGAAGACAGGCCTAGGTGGGAAAGATCTTGACAATGAGCAAAGTGGGAGAAATTCGGTAGAGAAGAAACTTAAGGTGGAGTGAAAAGTGCTATCTGAGGTTCTGTGTAGGATAAGTCTGGGGGACCTGGGAAGCAAGGCTAAGAAGGAAGAGATTCACTGCATATGAACCCTAAGAAAGAAATGTAAGAGGAAAAGCCCTGGGGCAGACCAGGGTGGTGGGAATGGAGAGGAGTCACAGACTTAAGAAGCAGGTCTAAACTAAAACAGCTCTCCAAGCACTTCCTCACAAAGCCCCATCCCAGTTTTTTCTTCCCCTTTGTCTGCTAGAGTTTTAAACTCACTTTTTAAGTGTTTGTTTGTTTGATCATCACCGGTCCTGTTTGAGGACAATGGAATGTTTAATGGAACACGGACCTTTAGATATGTGATGTTTAGGAAATAAGGCATACTTTTTACCCCCTCCAAGGTTAAGAATTTACTAACTCTGCTTCCAGGAAGATTTGCTGCATTACCAAGCAATGTGTCAAGCAAGATTTGCCTACCTTCGTTTACCTCAGTCCCTTCTCTCATAAGCAAAACTCTACTGTTGTGACTCTTATTGACTCCCAATTACATGTTTGATAGCTCCAGCTATACCCTAGTTTCCCCAGTCTGAGCCCTCAGATCATCAGTGGTAAGCTTGATGGTCCTGGCTCATACATCAGCTCTAGGTTTTCCAGCATCTTGGCCAAACTGACGACAGTCGAGGCCTGTCTCCCCTTACTGCTACTTGTTCACTTAGTGTCAGTGACGTTCATTTGTTCATATCCTTAGGACACATTAAAAACAGGTGTCCGACTACCTGGAATATTTCCATTTAATACAATTCAGATTCTGAGGACAAGACCAGATAAAAGGCCAACTCATACAATTTGAGAGTGTAGCATCTTTGTTAGGCAGGAGTATGTTAAATGCCTAGCCAGGAATCCCTCATCCCCTTGTGGGTCTGCTAGTGGGTCAGTGAACCTTGCTTTGTGGTATGTGGGGAACTTCAGCCTTCTCGACTAACAGCCTAAAACCACGAATCCAGACAGTTCCCTGGGTCATGAGAACAGCCAAGTGAGTGGATACTGAGATGAAAATAAAGCCTTAAAAGAAGAAAATAGCCTTATCATTGGAAAGCAGGAGAGGTTTTACTGGAGCTTCTGGGGTGGGCCCCAGAGTGGTGGGAGCTGCCTTCACTTCAGCAGTTTCAGAATTGTATCTTGTCCTAGTCAATAGATGCTGATGTCTCAAGCACAAAACAATGTCTTTCTTGCCAACTGAATGCAGTTAGTTCAATTGTAGCTTCTGGGCAATCCCCTTCCTCCCAGTAGGTTAAGGGTAGAGCTTGTTTCAGACTGGGTTCAGAAATAAATCCTGACTTTTTTCCAGTGAAAATGCAACTGAATTTCTTCTTTATTTCCTCTTAGTTCAAATCTGCAGCCCGCACTTCCCCACATGGGAAGAACGTGCCACTTTTTACCCGCTCCCCAACATCCACAAAGGAATTATTTTCTCTCAAACTGGCAATCTCTCTTCCTTGAGCACACACACAAAATAGCCAAGGAAAAATAAAGGTAAATTATTTGTTGGGCAGCTCTTTCTAGCCTCATTTTACTTGGTGGGAACAAATTAGATGTGAGACCCTGTAAAAATGCCGTAGGCAGAGGGACTCCCTTTCTTTGTTGGTCTCTTGACCCTGCTGGAGAAGGCTCTGAATTCAGGCTATTTGGTATACATTCTCTTCTTAGAAGAGTTGTGGACTCTGTATTTGAAACAATGACACAAGTTCAAGGTTTACTAGACAAAAGCATTTGAGAAAGAATAGTGCTGACATGGCTCCCCCTCCCCCAGGACAGCATCAACCTTGTAGACTCTGCTAGAATACATATGCTCCCATAATCCTTGAGCCAAGAAGCCCTGTTTCTGTCTTCAAGATATTTAGGGAGTGTCTAAGTTGGCTTTTTCCTCAGGCATATAATCTCTGAAAAAGAAACATGGGAAGGAGAGCATTATTCCTTGTCTGATCCATATGTTTCTAGTTCAAGGATTTCAGTCACTGAGATATAGACCCCAAAACTATTAATTGTCTCACCCAAGAAACTGAGCAAGCAGACTGGCCCCAAACCCTCCAGCTATGGCAAAATTTAACTTTGTGCCATAGTGGGGAGACCCCCAGACTAGTAACCTGGGTTCTATTTGTCCTATTTCTATCACTAACCATTCTGGGCTTAGTTTCTTCTTAAGTTGAAAAAACAAATTGGAACCCTGGCTGGTGTGGCTCAGTGGATTGACTACTCTGCCTGCTAACCAAAAGGTCACCAGTACCATTCCCAGTCAGGGCACATGCCTGGGTTGCCAGCCAGGTCCCCAGTAGGGGGCAGGCAAGAGACAATCAATGTTTCTCTTACACATTGATGTTTCTCTCCTCTCTTCCTCCCTTTCCATCTCTCTAAAATAAATAAATAAAATCTTTGTTTTTAATGGGAGATATCTCTCAATTCTGTTCTAGCTCCAAGATTCCCCAGGTCCTAGAGTATCTCTGCTCCAAGTCCCTCTACTTGAAGAAAGCTTACTGAATGGACTGTCAGAGCAAGCTTCTTTGATAGCAGAGGAGCCTGGAAACATCTTTCTGACCCAAACAACAGTGAGCTCTTTTGATCAGCATGCATTAGGGACTTCTGTCCAGGACCACCACCAAAGGCAATTGTTCCTATCCCACCTTTTTGCCACCCTACCCCAATCAGAATAGTTAATTGGGACTTCTGTGTAACTTTAAACTTCACTTGATAGAGCTAAACCTCTTTGGGACATCTACGGCTTCAAAACCGATAATTATAAAACTTAAATTGAACTCCCCTGCTCTACTTGCCCCAACCCTGCACAAACATACAGCCGAACAGCAGTGACTGACTGTGTGAGGTCTTTCTATGAACAGAGGGATTGTACATGCAAGGGTACACCCCAAGCCCAGAGAGCATCATCTCATGTGCATCATAGCTAGTGATTTAAACTGTTTCGTTTGGCTCTTTTCTTGGTTCCTTAAGTTCTGAAATGAGACATGGGGGGGTAGGATTGTTTCTCCTCCCACCCATAAACCTCAGCTTTCTCTCTCTTCCACAGTCTACATGGGGAGGACAGGGAAGCACAAAGAACGAGAGAAAAGATGCATTCATCTGAGATCTAAAAGGAGACAATGAGGTGATATTTCCCCCACTGCCCAGGTGTTGTGTTTCCAGCTCTTACCCCTTCTTATGTGAGAGCCTGGCCATTGCTAGGATGACCCGGGAACTCATCCCCTCTGCACTGCTCTCCAAGCACTTGGATAATGAAGCTGAGCTGTCTTCGTCTGTGTTGTATGTATGTAGACAGAAGCTCACATCTACAGCCTGGTGAAAAAATGGGGCAGATATCTTTCTGCTGTAAAGACAGACACATGAGCTGAGAAAAGGTTGGTGGGTTTCTTTCAGAGGGCACTAAGTTGTCCCTAAAGATCCTTTCAGCACTGCAAAGTGCTTGATGTCCAGGTCTGTTTCCTGGGAAGGAGCGTGCAGTTGGGTTGCAGGCAGTGCTTACTTCCACCTCTCCCCTCCCCAGTTATGCAAAGCCCTGGTAGATAGCAGAGCCAGCAATGTGACTTCAACATGTTTTTGCTCAGTTTATTCAATTCAAGAAGACACAGGCAGGGGAGGGTGATGTCGCAGGTTCGGGGTACTTGTAGTACCTGAACTACACACTTCCGGGCAGGTGGGAAGTTCTGTCTTGTTAGTAATTGCTGGGCTCCACCTCAGATCCCAGGTCCTAAGGAAGACCAGAGAAATGATTTCTGTTTCCCCTGCTGTAGTTCAGGAATAATCATAAAACGATTGCATGGTTTCTTGCTGCTCTCCACCTCCACTCTCCTTCCCACCAGTGTCCCCCTCACTACCTTTCTACCCACTAGGCCGTACGGAATGTGTTTGAAATTTCCATTTTTGAGTGTCACTGGATCAAAAAGGATTCACTGCAGTATTTGAAGAGCTGTAATTGCTTGCGATGTCCATCCATTTCAGTCTTTCAGAGCCACTTTCTGACATTTTTGTCACCAACAGAGCTGTGAGAATGTTTTTTGTGGAAATGGGGAGGTGGGGATGGTAGCTGATGCCTGACCTGACCCTGGAAGTCAGACTTTGGATTGGCCCTCACCTGCTACTTGTCAGGAAGTGTGATGGGAAATCTGGCTGAAAGGGATGCCCCTTTCTGTTCGTATGTCACATTGTGTTAATGGGAGAAAGCCAAGGTCGTGGAGGACTCTTGTTATGGTGCCAAGAGGATCCAAAAAGCAGGGAAGAAAATCTCGGTCTCCAGAGATTCCAGTGACCAGCCTTTTCTCTCTCCTCACAGATACTTACTTTTGAATTGGGAGACTAGCTGTTTCTAGTTTTCTGTTCGCCTTGCTGAACTGAATTTACAGTACATAGTGCGCCTACCTCTATCACTGAATAACGTCTATGTTGTTATAAAGCACGTTTCCTTCCAAGACCTTTGAGCCAAACCTGTCTTGTGTAACTAACTTCTCTCCTATCTCCTCCCCCTGTGGTATGTCTCCAATTGGCACTGCCTAGTTTGACCCAGTTCCTCTAAGTAGGCACGAAGATCTGCCTGCCTGGCCAGGCAGGGGAGGAGGTGCTTTGAGGCACAGGGAACGGGCAGGTGGGGAGGGATGTGACACCTGGGGATTGAGCAGATGGTGATGTTCCTCTACTGATTCGCTGCTGGATCTTAAAATATCAGGACTGAAAATGGCAGAATCTCAATCCCCTCCGACTTCCAGGGTTACCAAATTGGCATTTAGACCAGTTGGAGGCAGCCAAAGACTTATTTTGTCCAAGATGTGTCATGGGGCACCTGTTAAGAGCAATTAAGAAGCAGAAGAGCTCAGTTTACTAATAGAAACAAAGTCCAACTCAGAAAACAATTCTTTCAGACCCTTCTGGAAATTGTTTAGGGGTCATTTGGGCAAGTGTCCAAGAATGAGATGCACTTCCTAAGCCAGTGCTGACTGAATGCCATGCTTCAACTACTCTGCCCACCTAGTGCTTGTCTGACTTCTAGCTCTCTCTCTCTCTCTCTCTCTCTCTCTCACACACACACACACACACACACATACACATGCAATTGCATTAGCATATTTCTCTTGGTAGAGTCTGTTCAACTTGTTCTTCCTTTTTAGGTAACAGACCCCACCCACTCCCACAGGGATCACACCAAAGGAAAGGATGCCTTAATTTGATGTTAGAACCAGGGAAAAGATCATGAAGGTCTTGAGTACCCTGGTTTTTGAAAAGAAGCAAGACTATTTAATGAAAAGAGCAGCTCTGGCTGGTAGCTCAGTGGATTGAACATGGGCCTGAGAACCAAAGGATCACGGTTCAGTTCCCAGTCACGGTACATGCCTGGGTTGCAGGCCAGTTCCCAGCAGGGGACCCATGAGAGACAACCATACATTGATATTTCTCTCCTTCTCTCCTTCTCTTCCCCTCTAAAGATAAATAAATAAAATCTTAAAAAAAAAAAAAGAAGTATTTAAAAAAAAAAAAGGAAAGAGCACATCTTGGAAAGGCAGGAGCCTGGTGTTCTTTTTCTGGTTACAGTCGCACCATGAGCCCTGAGACAAATCACTGAACTGCAGTTTCTCCAAGCAGAAAATTGGGAAAATCCTGCGCATTCTTGCTCTTCCTGCGTATGGAGGATGAGGGTGGGAGGTGGTGATGTGGGGAGTCATCTTGAGCTTTGCAATAGTTTTGAACAATCCCAAAGGGCAGTTCTAGAGCTAATGATCTGGAAATGAGCGGGGCCCCAGGGGTACTAGGCTGCCCTCACTCACCTTTGGATGTCTGACCACTGCGAGTTCTCTGGCTAATTCCAGCAGGTATGAGTTCGCTGGCCCCCGTAGATTTGGGCTCTTTTCATCTTTGCCCCTAAGGGAACTTTCAAGGAGCCACTTATTGTGGTTTGCTGTAGCAGTGCAGCCCCAAAGCTCAGTCCATTCCAGGGTGGACGTCAAACAAAGAGGTGCTGAAAATATACGTAGGGAAATTTATCTTCCATACCCAGTCTTTCTGGATGAGACTAGCCATCTCTCTGGGGTAATCTAAGGGATTTGCTTTGCAAATGTTTCAGGCTCTTTTCATGAGACTTTTTAGAGGAGTATGTTGTCTCAGAACTAGATAAGAATGATCCAGGTGAGGAAAGAGGCAGAGTAATAGACTTTACCTCCGTGTGCCCTCCAGAACCACCCTCCCACCCCTGGCTCTATCAATATAGTATAACAAGTAAACTGAACTTTCATCCATCTGCCTTTGTGAGATCCTTCAGAGACCAGGAATCTTGGTGGCAGCTCAGGCTGTCCCTGTGCCCCACTCTGGCTCCCTCAAATCTGCCCCTGGAGTATTTATTTTTCATTAGATGAACAGTAAAAGCAATTTTGGATATATGTATGTTTCCACCAAATAGATTTTTTTCTCCTCCCACAGGCTCCTAAGGAGATAATTCATTGCAACAAATTATCGCTTTTAATTGTTCTCAGTTCTCCATTGTTTAATACTCTGCTGCCAATTACTGCTTGCTTTACTTCAAACAGACTAACCTGTATTTTTAAGTTCGGATTCCTCCCACCTTTACAAACAATAAACATAGCAAAGTAATTGACGTGAAGGTGGGGAAAGCCATTTAAAGGTTTAATTTGACTCCTCACTGAACTTGAGGTGGGCTGCTCTCCTCCATCTACTTTCCTGTCCCCTTCCCTCCTGTCACACACAAAAAACAGAGTCCCTTGAATGACTGAATCCTGCTTCCTCTTATTACAACGCCATCCTTAAGGTGTAGAGCCTCTATGGGACTTTTTTTTCCTTCCCAAGGGCTGAGCTAAGCTATAACCTGCCTCCTTTCCCACAGCATCAGCTCCACCTACAGGGAAAGGGTCTCCTCTCAGAACACATCCAGCACCCCTCTGGAGTAAGACGGTGTTGCTGTCGCAGAGCCTGGGGAAACAGAAGTTGCGGGTCGGAGGAGACCTTAGGGTTTGTAAGTCAGGGTATGTTGTCTTCCCCACCAGGACAACGTACGAGGTTTTTCTTCTTTAGGATAGAGTCAGAGCACACTTAAGTGATCCTTCAGCTTTATGGCTAAACTCCAGGATGTTAGAAGGCTCCTCCTTCCCAGATCTGGTTTCTAATAGCAGCTGTTTTCTCTTTCAGCAGAATCTAAGATGGACATAGAAGACTGCAATGGCCGCTCCTATATGTCTGGTATGCCCTCTTGTGCATTCTACTTGTAAGGGGCTGGGAGCAGGCACTGTCCTGTGGAGCGGAGCCACCAACCCAGCACAGGACCTCTGAGTGTCCGAGTCACAGAGCTGACACCCATGCTTGGGACTGTTTGATAGTGTTCATTTATTTAGGTCATTTTCCGTTCCCTAACGACTCTCTTCCCAGACTTCTTGGGTGGTAGGAGAATGGAGTAGGAGAGGAATATGAGTAGAGACTATTAGAGAGGAATGATTTGGAGCTAAGAGATCAAAGATGTAGTTCCTTCTGTTCTCTGAAGTCACCAGCCAAACATGATATTCTGTCCCACCCAGAGAGAGTGGAGCAGGATTTCAAACCTCAAAGGCCTGTGGGGCCAGGTGGGTATGTAAATGAGTGACCTGGGTCAGGATAATGAGCAGAAGAGAATGGTGGGGACTGTCATGAAGTGGAAAACACATGTCCTACCTCAAGGAGCAGCAGCTCTTCAGTGTCCGTGTGAGAATGTGTATCCAGTGTGACTAAAACTTCCCATTTTTTTAAGAGAAATCAGAAATCCAAATTTTATATGAAATGTATCCATTTAAAAATAATGACTCGGTGTTATCAATATTATTTTTAAATGTTCCATGGGGCGAGCCAAACTTGTCTATGGGCTGAATTCAGCCAGCGGGCCGACAGCTTACAGCCTCTGAAGTGGAGATACAGAGCCCAGCGCCCATTCCCCACAGTCCTTTTCCATGGTCGTAACATGAAGCTTTTCATGCCTGCCAAGTACTCTTACTGAGGCAGAAGAGATCATTGCTTATAGTGTGACTGGCTTTTAGAGATATGAAAGTAATTAGGATCCTCCCAGACTTTAACAAGGTGAAAAGAAATGAGGAACTTTCTCTGGCCCCTCTCTGAGAGTGTAGGAAATGGCCTAAGACGAGTGTGTCTAAGATGAAGGGAATCATTTTTTGGACCCTTAAGAGTGCCAGGGCAGGAAATGATTATAAGAGGTAAGGGAAGGCAGAACCGGGTTTTGACATTATGCGTATCCCCGCCAGAAATCCAAGCACCATTTAGAAATGACTTACAGCTTTTTTCCCCCCAAAGTGGGACCAGTGGAGGAATTATAGGCATGCAGTAAGAGAGGTAGCAGGTTGGATCAGGCACACGCTTAAGAGTCATTGACAACTCCTGGGTAATGTAAGGGAAGATGACTGACCCCTTTTTCATTTAAGGAGGGAAGGCGTTGGAATCGGTAACGACATTCAGTACCTGCACGGGCTGGACAGAGTGACAGGGATCAAGTGGACTGACTTGAATGAGAGATACTTTATTGATATGAAATTCATAGCCCCTCTGAGGAACCAGCCAACCCTCCCACCCCCTGCTCAGTTAAGCCTATTCCGAAAACCACTACAGAGCAACAGCCACACTCAGAGCCCTGCTTTATCACTGGGGACCACTCAGACGGATGAACGCCAGTCCCTGCTCCATGGTCAGCAAATGAGAAACCAGGAACATGGCTGAGGAAATAGCCTGCAGAGCTGTCTTCTGTCCTATCTCTGGACAATATTGGATGTTAGAGGAAAGTTTCTGAGGGCGTTTGCTAGGCTATGAAAACCAAACTTTCCCTGCTTTTAGCAGGTTGGCATTTCCTATGTGAGAAGAGCCCTCTGTGCTTTTGAATGAAAGTAGAGGCCAGAAACCCCTCATCTGTGTTTTGAGAATTCTAGATGTCAGCCGCTGCCTTAGAGAGGGAGAAGGAAAATCAGGGTAGGGCCAACATTAGCCCTGGCAAGTAGCCCCTGCAGGACTGAGCGTGGCTGAGCAGTCCACCTGAGGGTCCTCTGAGGGCCCTCCGCTGACCCATCCCTCCTGGACTGACAGGGAAGCAGTGGGAAAGGCCGCACGGAGTGCGCGGCCGGGCCTCTTCCTTCAGCGTCGTCGCAGCTCTTCTGCCTCGACACCAGGTGGCCCTTCCTCACGTGGCCACTGGATGAAGAGGGTGTCCGTCCTGTTCTTCAAAGACGTCTTCCTACCTCACAGAACCTGATTCAGGAAGTCCATCTGTTCTAAAGGTGCAGACCATTCCCCCCTGGGAGAGACTGGAGAGAAGGGAAGCGTCCGTTGGTTCACCATGCAAATTCTCTTCCCCCACTCCATACCTCTCTGGGGGAACTGAGTTGCTCTAGCTGGCTCGTAGAATTATTTGACTGAGCAGTGCTTGTCCCACGGTTTCTGGGACTGTGAAATGTTGAAGGGAACCTCGGCAGAAAGAGATCCAGGGGTAGGCAGCCCAAAGTTTCACAGCCCCTCCCACCCCCAAATTCTTGGAATCAGAAAATCTAGTCTCCAAAGTAGGTCAGCACGGCAGTGAGTAGCTCCTTTGGAAGGGAAGGGAGCAGAGGCCTTGTCTTGATAGAGGGCGGATTCATCCACGGCTGTCGGCTGCCTGCCCGCCCCAGGGGCGCAGGAGGGGAAGGGAGGGGGAGACTGGCTATACCAGCATTTTGCCTGGAATCTGAAAGGGCTCAAGGCCGCAGAGCCACCCCAGCCTGAGACCAGACTGCGCCGAGCCCTCTCACGGCTAACAGGGAGGGGGCGGTCAGTCCGGAGATCTACAGAGCGACCTCCCTCCAGGAGGAGGAGGAGGAGGGAAAGGAGGGAATATGAGTGCCCGAGTTTGGCGGGGGAGGGGCTTTCTGCTGATCTGAGAGCCTTGAAGCTGCCCTGTGTCCTGGGCCCCATGACCTCTGGGGCCTCGGCTTCCCCAACTGGCAGAGCACTGGGCCTTCCCAGGGGCCCTTTCTCCCTCCCACCCCAAGAGCCCATCCATCTCTCTCTGTCTCTCTCTAACACACATGTACGCGCACACACACACACTTGCTTCTCTCAGGCATTTGTTGTGCAGTTCCTCTTTGTCTGCTGGGCACGAGGGCAACAGCTTCTGCCTCCCCCTCCCTGTGCACAGCCCCCCACCCCGCCCCTTTGCTGGCTTGGAAGAGAGATGCTGTAGCCTAGCATTCCCCGCCAGCAGACACACATATACATTCTACATTCCCTGCAGCCCCCTCCTCAAGCACATCCAAGCGTGCACTCGCTTGCTCTCTCTCTCTCTCTCTCTCTCTCTCTCTCTCACACACACACACACACACACACACACACACACACACACACTCGCATACATACACCCTGGGCTGAGCTCTTCTTGCTGGCTGCAGCCGTGGGCCCCTGCTCACCGTGCCGCTGCCGCTGCCTGCGAAATGACGGCGGTTCCCCTCACTTCCAGGAATCCACGCTTCCTGGAAGGTGAGTGGCTGGGCTCACCCCTGCCTGCCACCCAGACGCAGACATGCACACACCACCCGCACTCCCTCGCCGTTTCCAAGGCGGCGGCCGCGTTCGCACCCCAGGGTCTCACCGGCAAGGGAAGGATAATGTAAGTTCAGGCAGAAGGTGGTTAGGGGAGGGGGGGGTGCTGGGGCTAGGGAGCCAATTCTGTAACAACTCCTGAGACTGAGGAGAGGGGGAGGATGGGGGCTGTGTGTGTGTGTGTGTGTGTGTGGCGGGGGAGGGGGCGTTCCTCCTCACACTTGCGGAGGATGGGAAAGGGTGTTTGGTGTTGCTAAGCAAAGACTGCGACTTGGACAGTGGGAGCTTGTGGTGACATCTTGATTAGGCCCTGGGGACAGATGTAGAACTGCCTGGGTGAAATGCCCAGACAGGCCAGGGTGGGAATGGCTAGTAGAGAGAAGCCAGGTGAAGAGGAGCTTTGGCAGCAGATGCCTCAGCCCGTCACAGCGATCTGAGGGGCCTCAGCCTCCTCCCCACAATAGAGCTGGGGATGGGCGTCTTTCTTTGCTCCCGTACCCACTAGTCCCTGCTATTGGGCTAGCATCCTGGCACCCTGGAGCTCCTGGTCAAGAAAGGGGAAGCAGTTAGGAGGAGATCCTTACTGAGAAGTGCGGAGGCTCTCTAACCTCATGGCCGTTCCCTAGAGGTAGCCACTCCTTGAGGGATCCGGGAAGGGCGGCAGGAGCAGGTGGGCTAGTTTCCTTCTGCATGTGAAACATTTAGCTCCAGGGGTGTTGCCCTGGTTCCTGTTCCCGCTTTTCTGCCCCACACTCATCTCCTAGTTCTAATGGTAACCTCATGGTTTGGCTTTGCCCTCCAGGGGTTCAAGCAATTTTTTTGACTGACCAAGAAAATTTCTCTGAGACCTGAGAGCAGCCTCAGTTCTTGGCTTTGACGGTCTGGGATTTCTTGGGAGTCCCAGGCATTTGAAATTCCCTCACTGGGGTTTCTGAGGCTGAGAGAGGAACTGCCAGACTTCCTAAATCAGTCTAGTCCCCTTCTCCCTCTAGCTGGAAATCACAATCCCTGGGGCCTCATAAAGATTTTCCAACCCCTGAAAAGATTCTTTTTTATACATTAGCCCATAAGAGTAGACCGGGGCCTGTTTTCCCTCTTACCTTTATCCTGGGGAGGGCAGCAGCATTAAAGAGCCTCGAACTCTGGAGGCACCTGCTCTTCCTCCTGTTTCCAGGCCTTAACAGAGAAAGTCACAAAGGATGTTTTCCCCTAACTGTCTCTAAATATCCCTTTAAGAATACCTTCCCCCATATATGAAGCCCTGACCCCAAGAGGCAGCCTCAGCCTAGCAGGCTAGGACCAACGATGGACTTCCAGCAAGCTCCTCATTCTTTTAGGGTCGAGGACTCGGTGCCAGGGCCCAAAGCCCCGTTCTTTTCCCATTACTAACATCAAGTGATTCAGGGCAAGTCAGCACTAATGATTGAAAAGGATGGAGAAGATACTCTCTCAGCCCTTCTAACCTTAGTACACCCCACATGTAGTTGAAAGGACATTTTAAAACTGTATCTGGGTCTACAAGTCTCAGCTCACAACCCTGAGAAGCTCACTGCATGATAGATGTGTGGTTCTGATTTGGGGCAACTTCTGTGATAACCATGGTTCATCTAAAGAGCCCCAGCTCAGGGTTAAGCCATAAGGATGTTCTGTACATAGTAAACAAACTTCCTCAGACGTTGATGGGATAGAGTGTGGGAAGTGGGACTTTTAGGAGAGGATATGAATGGGAAATGGTCCCACAGTCCTGAGTGGTTGTTTTCTTCCCACTGACCAAAGCTGGAGAGGGATCCCTCAGGAGGGTGTGTTCCGGATTTCTTGCCTCAGGCCCAAGACTCCAACCATTTTATAATGGAATCTTTATTTTGTGAAAGTAAGTATGTGCATAGCTGGGAAATTGGGTAAAGTACTAACAGGTGGACTTTAGGGATGAATTTTAGGGTTTGTCTCTCTCTCTCTCTCTCTCTCTCTCTTCCATATTTAGGCCTGTCTGCACACATCCATGCATGTCCATGTTAGCAGACAATGTAGAGGCTATGGGTATGTTTATCCTAGTAGGCATGTTCTCTTTATCTGTATCTTCATATGTGATCTGTGTCTGTGTGTGTTTGTCTACATGTGTTTGATTTCACCTATGTATTTGTGTAGAAGATTGTGGGGAGGAGGGATTTTTTTTTAAAGACATGACTTATATCTTCAGGTGTGTCATCTGATTTTTAAAACCACATACAAAATTCTCAAAAAGCATTTTTACAAAGCAGTTTGTCAATAAGTTAAAATGAATACATTGAAAATAAACTGATTATTTCACTGTCAAGGAAACACCAAGTAGTAAGTATCTGATTGGAATCATATCAGATAAGATGATTTTTTGGCATAGTCACATTTTTTGCTAATTTTACAAGACCAGTGATCTAGCCCCCGAGCTGTGTAGCCCTCACCTCATTTTGGCTAATTTTAGAAAGTCTAATGGGCCCAACCGTCTCCTCCTGAAACAGTGAGGCCCAGTTAGCTGTGTAGCTGGTGGTTAAGGACATGGGCACTCACTTTTGTGATCAGATCCCAGTTCCACCACTATGGGCCATGTGACTTTGGACAAATAGCATGGCCTCTTTTGTGTCTCAGTTTCCTCTTCTGCAAAATTAAGATAATATTGGCAACTACTTCATAGGGTTGTTATGAAGATTAAATGGAGTAATTCATTCACGGTGCATTGAACAATGCCTGGCACACCAGAAGCACTCAGTCGGCTGCCATCACTATGATTGCAGTTATCATCATTAGATTCAGGGACAATTCCAGCTGCCCTATCTGCAGGCCCCATACCTGGTGCTGGGGGCTCCAGAGAGGAACAACAGGGAAGAATGGCTGTCCTGAAGTGCCTCGCTGCTGAGGCCCCCATTTTCCTCTCCACCCTGGCCCGCCCAGCCCCGCCCCAGCCCCAGCCCGGCTTCCTGTGGACGTCAGGCAGTGATGCTCTTCCCTTCAGGCTAGATAAAGGTAGGGTGGGCAAAGCCTAGTCACTGAGCTCGCAGAGGTCAGCACCAGGCACCCAGGCTGGCAAGGGCATGAGGTGTGGTTCCTGGAATACAACGCTGCCTTGGACCTGGCTACAAGATAAACGTAACTGAATTTTTAAAGATTAGGCAATTCATTAATAGTTACAGCTATAGCTTCACCTGCCCTCTTGTTCTCTCCTCCAAGGTAGCGGGGACTCATCTCTGGAGAAGGAGTTCCTTGGGGCCCCAGTGGGGCCCTCGGTGAGCACCCCCAACAGCCAGCATTCTTCTCCCAGCCGCTCACTCAGTGGTAAGTGTACCCTCCTTCTGTCACCTGGCACTAGGCACCCCTGTTTGTGTTTGGCCCTTGATTTTTCTTCCATTGGCAGCCATTTCCCCACTGATGCCTCCCTCTGGTTTCCTGTTCAGAGTCTCTAAAAGCACTAAGTAGCTCAGTGTCTAGGGTTTTCCTGACTTCTGAAAGGAGACTGAACTGTCACTGCCAGACGAGGTCGGAATTAAAAGCGGCTTGGGTGGGATTAAGGTAAAGGCCCCAAAGACACAGTCCGGAGTTAGAGTAGTAGGTAGATAGAAATGGTCATGAGCTGGAGTTAGATAGGAAATGGAGATGAGAAGGATCTCCTTATCACCCCCCTATTCTCCTACCCAGACAAGGTCCCCATGACTGCCCCTCCTCAGCTGGCCCTAGATCTGTGACATTCTCTAAATGGTTGGAATAGCCAGGAATGTAGGTCAGGGCGAGAGCCAAAGCCTTCTCCTCGATGGCTCCTCCCTCGTCCGTGCCCCTCCCCAGATTTTTATGGAGGGAGTAGAGGGGCTTCAGTGTAATGGGCGGAGGGATAATGTAAGCCGCGCCTGTCTTCCAGGTCCGCTGTCCTTAGCCTGCCTCTTCGGTCTTCCCAGGACCGTTTTCCTGCCACTGCTACTTGCTGGCTTTCTGCCCAGGGCCAAGTCAGACGTCTTTCTTAATGAAAGGAGAGTGGAGAAATAGGCTCCCCTTAGCTTCTTCTTCTCCCCAGTGACAGAAGACATCCTGTGTACCCCAACTTTTTTCTCTTGCTTTGCTTGATTGATGGGGTAGGAGGAAAAGGTCGCTTCAGGTCCCAGCAGGACCCTGAATGTCTCAGGGCTTGGAGACTCCTTTCGGACTCGAGGAGTACCTTTCTGGCCTGAGGGCAGGCTCTCCCCTTTGCCTGTCTCTATCCTAAACCCCACCCCACCCTCCAGCCAACTCCATCAAGGTGGAGATGTACAGCGATGAGGAGTCGAGCAGACTACTGGGGCCGGATGAACGGCTCCTGGAGAAGGACGATAGTGTGATCGTGGAAGACTCATTGTCGGAGCCCCTGGGCTACTGTGATGGGAGTGGGCCAGAGCCCCACTCCCCCGGTGGCATCCGGCTGCCCAACGGCAAGCTCAAATGTGATGTCTGTGGCATGGTCTGCATCGGACCCAATGTGCTCATGGTGCACAAGCGCAGTCACACAGGTGAGTGAGCCAAGGGGCCAGCGGGGCCCTCCCACCGGGCTGGCAAGGGAGAGGCAGTGCCAGGAGGCCGTGCCTGGAGTGGGGTAGCTTTGGAAAGGGAGGGTCTCCCCCGGCACATTTTCTAGCTGAGGGGAAAAAAAGGAGGGGTTGAAATTTAAACTCCCCAAATACCTGTACTTCCCTGGCACTTTCCTCAGCTGTCCTTATAAAGAAAAACAGATGTTTTTCTTGGGAAGCGAGGGAGGGGAAGGTGTTGTAGTCCCCAGAAGGATGCTATACCCTACCAGGTTAGGACTCATGGGTATTATTTGGGCCCTCCCATCTCATGAATAAAAAAAGAAGAAATATGGAATACAGAAGCCTCTTCTCAGCTTCCCTGGGCTTTGGGCTCCTGGGGCAGAGAGAGCCCTGTGGGGTTGGTTCTTGAATCCAGTCTTTTGGCTCAGTGTTCCCGGCCTAGTGCCCTTCTCTCTGCCACACACCCCTAATCCACACCTTCCCGGGGGATCTGGATTAAGCAGGATTTATTTGAGTGGCACAGCCCTGCCTCTCAGAAATGTGTTTTGAGCGCCTTCCTGAAGGCGGTGTGCAGCAGAGGACGGGAGACTAGGTGCAGCCCTCAAAGTTCCTCACACCCGGTCCTCCGAGTCTGTCTGTTCTTTCGCTTACAGGGGAAAGGCCCTTCCACTGCAACCAGTGTGGTGCCTCCTTCACTCAAAAGGGGAACCTGCTGCGCCACATCAAGCTGCACTCTGGAGAGAAGCCCTTCAAGTGTCCCTTCTGCAACTATGCCTGCCGCCGGCGTGATGCACTCACCGGCCACCTCCGAACACACTCGGGTCAGTGACCTTTCCGGTGGGAGAGGAGGAAGTGGGACCCCAGTGCACCCAATACATAGAGCCCAGCAACTTCTCTTGTGTCTAGGGGGTTACAGTGTCCTCGCTGAGGAGGGCAGAGCACTCCCAGAGCAGACAGGGCTCTGCCTCTCTAACCCCTTCTCTGGGTAGCAGGCCCCATAAAAAATTTGAGGAACTCCTTAATGAAGTATTTTACATCTGCCACAGTCTGTAACATGGAGCAAAAGGAGCACAGTCAGTGCTCTTGGCTCTTAACAGTCACCCTACACTACTCCCTGCACCCCATGACCCCTCACTTCCTTCCACTCATACCTGCCTCAGGCCCCATACTTGTCACCATCTTCGCATCGCTCCCAACATCAGGGGTCTGTCCTCTCTTTTACTTACTACTGGTTCCTGAAAATACCCATGGGCCTCCCAGACCGGAAGAAAGGAGGCTTAGGAAAGGATTACCCCATTTCTAGTCCTCATCCCAAGAGGTTGTCACCTTACCAGGAGCAAGAGCAAGTGTCTGGATGGAGCTGTGTTTGCAGCAGTGCCAGGAACTGGACTGACTCCATTTTCTAGCCCAGCCAAGACTGAATCAACATCTGCCTCAATCAGCTGGTCAGATAGCAGTTTTGAAGCATTTTACTAAAGTCTTAAGCTTTTGGCTTGGACTTGGGGAAAGGCCAGGAGTTGAGCTGACAGGAAGGAGGGAGCTCAAGATTAGGGAAAAGGGAAAGGAGGGCAGAGGAGAAAGAATTAGTAGGGTCTGTCCTTAGAAACTTTCCTTGCTATTTTTCTCTTTTCCTAAACTCTCGTGGACCAGGATTTAAAGGGACAGAGCAATCATCTCACCACCCTGTGTTTTTCAGCCACCTACCTTGCTCTAGGTTCTCTTACCTTGAAGCTGGGACCTCTTTATCTTTATGTATGTGGAGAAACGACAGGGAGGAAGATCATCGTTGATTCATGCTTTATAATCTTGAAGTTTTTCACTTGTGTCTCCTTATGTGATCCTCATAACAGTTCCAAGGTAGATGTTATTGTCCTCAATTTGCTGACAAGAAATTGAAGCTCTGGAAAAAGAAAAAAAGATTCGCAGGCCAGGAGCTGTTCTTTCTGTAGCCTTACTGAAAGCCCATCAAGGTCCCGAGCCAGATATTCATGCTCCTTTACCCAGGAAAAGAGTCCGCTTCCCCTGCTGATTTGGAATACGGATGGCTTAGCCCCTAGAATTCTTACCAACAACGGTGAGGAGGGGGGGCGGTTGCAGAGATGCTACAGGAGGAGGTCATTAGAGCTAGAAGAAGACACAGAAGTACTTGTTGGGTCCCATTCTTTGCGAAATGCTTTCTATTGCAACCTGTATTGTAAGAAAAAAGGGTTCCTCTTAGATGTTAAACCATTGCCCCAAGAATCTCAGGTATGCTGAGCAACAGCAGGATGGCAGCAGGCTGATTGGCTCAAGGTCCAGTTCGGGCAGAGGATGGGAGGGGGCTTCCTGGCAACACTCTCTATCTCCCTGCCCAGGAGTAAGATCCGTAAATTAAAATATACAGTACCTTGTTTCTCTCACTTTTCTCTCTCCTCACAAATATCATCTCTCAAAAGTTATCTTTAAAGGAAGTTATTGATCTCAGTTTTCCCAACCTTTTTTTTCACCAGAAACAAAATCTTTATAACCTGTTCTTAAAGAAAAAGAATCCCTCCAAAGTTGCTCTTTTCCTTTTATGCTCTTCTCCTTGTTTTCCTCTCTGTTCTTGTATTCTTTTCCTCTTCTCAGAATTTCTCTATTAGTTGATGGTTTTTCTGGGGTTCTCTTTGTGTCTCAGTGCAGAAAGACAGAAAGAATAATAAGCAGTAAACCTGGGCTAGAGCCGAGGTAAAAAAGTAAAGGTCAGTGAAAACTGCCCCTCCCTGCATCGGCAGATCTGAGGCAGATCTCGTTTCTGTCACCCCAGCCCACCAGTTTCCCCCAGACCGAAGCAGATGGTTCGTAAGCAAAAAATCCCCTTGTCTGATAAACAACAGTGACACCGCCTGCCACATGGAAAGGTTAAACCACAGTGCGGGCCTCAGACTCTGAGACCCTGGGGTGGGGCCAGCCTGCTTGCCAGGGACGATGCCCCACGAAGTCCCTGGGTCCTTCTTTTCTTCGAATAGCATTTTGGCCATTTTGAGTCTCACCAGCATCCAACTATATGCCCTCGGTCCCCTCCCTCCTCCCATGGCTGCTCAGTGTGCCTCTTCTCCAAGGTTTGGTCATCCGTCCATGCGCGCAGCCCCGAAGTTGGGGAGGGGAAGACAAGAGGAAGGATTCAACTGAGCCACATCCCCTCCCCCTCAGGCCAGAGCACTTTTGCCCCTGGATGATTTTGGAGAGCCGGGGCACGGGGGGAGATGACTTCAGTGCTGTTCCTTTCCTCTCTCCTCCATAGTCTCCTCGCCCACAGTGGGCAAGCCCTACAAGTGTAACTACTGCGGCCGCAGCTACAAACAGCAGAGCACCCTGGAGGAGCACAAGGAGCGGTGTCACAACTACCTGCAGAGTCTCAGCACTGAAGCCCAAGCTCTGGCTGGCCAACCAGGTGGGCTGTAGGCAGGACTCTAAGGGAGCTAAGGGCAGGGCCAGAGGGGACACAGGACAAGGGTTATTCCCTACACGAAGGGAGAGGCCCATGGAAAAGGGACAGTTACCTCAGTAAATCCACCGAGCAACCCAGTTAGTGCAGAGCCCCCTGGCAGGTGGTGCAGGGAGACCCAGAGGTAGGGGAGGATGTGATCTATGTCCTTAGTCTAGTGGGGGAGAGAGAACACAAGAAGTGTAAAATTAAGGGTCAGTTGTATATAACTGTCCCCAAATGATGTGACATGTTGCTGGGATGAGCTCTAGGTGGGGTGAAGTAAGCAGAGCCTAATTTCCCAAGCATCGGCTGTGACCTCCCTTGGCTCTTGACCTGCTGGTTTTCTCCAGGTGAAGGCTGCTGGGCCGGTGCTACCCCCGCTCAGCTGCTACTACCTGTCCCCCCCTCCCCCGCTAGGTGATGAGATACGTGACCTGGAGATGGTGCCAGACTCTATGCTGCACTCGTCCTCTGAGAGGCCAACTTTCATTGATCGTCTGGCCAACAGCCTCACCAAACGCAAGCGTTCCACCCCCCAGAAGTTTGTAGGTAAGAGTCCAGTTGTAGAGGAGATACTAGCTTTAAGTTCATCTATATCTGAGCTCCGGTAGCTGTTAGACCAGTTGGGCCTAGAGGTCTGACCGAAGAAAAGACAGTGGTCTGGTCCTCAGAGTCTATCTCCAGAACAGGGGCAGAGTGAAGAGAGAGAAGGTCCCTCGAGACAGGGGAGAAGAGTCAGTATTAAGAAGAGGATGTCAGGGCCTCTGGCTGTCCCAGTGTTTGAGAGTAGCAGGGACTTCAGTCCCTGGGGGCTGAGGTAAGGGCCCCCAAAGTCAGAGGGCGGAGGTGAGTGTGGGGGTGCCACCTGGCCCTGCTCATTAGCCCTGGAAGGACCTGGAGCTTTATAGAGAGTAATGAAAGAGCAGTGAAGACCAGTGGCCTGGGATTGAGTTCTTCTCTGAGATTATAGCCTAGAGTTGGGGAGAGGTCCCCAAAGCGACCTAACTTTGGGGGAAGTAAATGAGGAGTGGTAAATAATGTTACCGCCATCCTCAAGGGAAAGAAAACAAAGAAATAATCCTGGGGAGCTTAGGCATTCTCCAGACCCAGGTCTGCTGAGAGCCTCTTCTCCACAGGCGAGAAGCAGATGCGCTTCAGCCTCTCAGACCTCCCCTATGATGTGAATTCGGGTGGCTATGAGAAGGATGTGGAGTTGGTGGCACACCATGGCCTGGAGCCTGGCTTTGGAGGTTCTCTGGCCTTTGTGGGGGCAGAGCACCTGCGTCCCCTCCGCCTTCCACCTACCAATTGCATCTCAGAACTCACACCCGTCATCAGCTCTGTCTACACCCAGATGCAGCCCCTCCCTGGTCGACTGGAGCTTCCAGGATCCCGAGAAGCGGGTGAGGGACCCGAGGACCTGGCTGATGGAGGTCCCCTCCTCTACCGGGCCCGCGGCCCCCTTACTGACCCTGGGGCGTCCCCCAGCAATGGCTGCCAAGACTCCACAGATACAGAGAGCAACCACGAAGATCGGGTTGGGGGTGTGGTATCCCTCCCTCAGGGTCCCCCACCCCAGCCACCTCCCACCATTGTGGTGGGCCGGCCCAGTCCCGCCTACGCCAAAGAAGACCCCAAGCCACAGGAGGGGTTACTGCGGGGCACTCCAGGCCCCTCCAAGGAAGTGCTTCGGGTGGTGGGTGAGAGCGGTGAGCCCGTGAAGGCCTTCAAGTGTGAGCACTGCCGGATCCTCTTCCTTGACCACGTCATGTTCACCATCCACATGGGCTGCCACGGCTTCAGAGACCCTCTTGAGTGCAACATCTGTGGCTACCACAGCCAGGACCGGTACGAATTCTCTTCCCACATTGTCCGGGGTGAGCACAAAGTGGGCTAGCCACCCACTGCCCTCGCCTTGGTCCACCCCTCCACAGCCCTATCCACAGGAGTCTATCCCTGTCCCTACCACATCCCAAGGAGTTTTGCTGTGTAGCCCCCTCCACTGGCTACCTAACTTCACACTTGACCCTGAATCCTTTTCACCTATTCTCTTCTCCTAACCTGACTGATTTAAGCATTGTGATTAAACAGGTCTTTTATTATGTTTCTCCTTTTTCTCTCAACCTGTTATCCCATCATACTCACTGAGTTATTTATTAATATAATTAGTTGGTTTTTTAAAAACTTGTATCAGTCACTTGCCACTCCCCCACCCTCCTGCCCACAGTCCCCTTCCACTTTAGGTGGGAAGCTCCTCTTAATATTAAGGAATCTTGAGCTTCTTGTTTTAAGTCCTCATATTTTGCATTATGTGATTCTTCAGTTTTGATGCTGATAGCTCCCTCTGGCCTGGTCCTACCTTAGCTCCGTGGCATTATATCTCCTCTCTGGGACCCTCCAGCCTGGTACTTCATACCTCTTGTGCCCTCTCATATTAGGCAGCTTGCACTTTCCTCAAACAAATGAAGAATTCCCTCATTTGGAGGTAGGAGGGGCTGAAGAAATTCTCCCATCACCATGGGACTAAGAGTCCTCTTGACATCCCCCTAGTAACGAGTTCCCCAAAGCCCACATTCAGGATCTCCTTCTAGGATGTGACGATGTATCTCTTACCACTTCTTGAACAACCCCCAACACTGCTCTACTCTCTTTAACCTGCCAGTCTACTCAGTGGTAGCTTTTCTCTCCTTGGAGTGCCCCAATTTTATATTCTCAGGGGCCAAGGCTAGGTCTGCAGTCCTCTGTCTCTGACACACTGGGAGCCACAGGTGCCTAACTGGGAACCAGGGCGTGGGAAGGGGTGAGGCAAAATTCTGCTCGTACTCTTCCACCTCTCAGACTTCTTCACTCTGGTGACCTTCCTAGGCGTTCAGGGGCTCCACAGCCCCCTTCCTAGGAGAAACTACTGGGTTGCTGCCTGATGACAAGGGGGCATCTCCCCCTCAGTCATTCTGCCTTCTTCTCTCCCCTAAGCAGGATTCACCTTCTTAGGAAGAAAAGGGTGTCTCTTTTCTCTCTTCTAATTTTCAGTATAACCAAAAATTATCCCAGGATGAACAGGGGCATGCACCCCTCACCCCCTTCCACTCTTGTCCCAGCAGGAATGGGATGGGCACAGCTGAAGGGGGGCATCACCCGTTACTGCCCCCTTCTACACTCAGCTCCCAGATGTAGAGCAGGAGGGGACACTCTCCTCCTGGCTACTGCAGAGACCCCTGGCCCTTTGGGTAACCTAGTTAGTGAGAAGGGCGCAGGAGGAGATACAGCTCCACTGCAAGTGGAGGCCTCTTTCTACGAGAGTTCTCTGCCCAAGGCCACAGCCATCGCATTCTCTGCTTTCTTGAGATTCAAACCAAAGGCTGTTTTTTCTATATTTAAAGAAAAAAAAGTAAAAACCAAACGCAACACCTCACAAGTTGTAACACTTGGTCCTTCTCTCTCCTTCTCTCTTCCCATCTTTCTTTCCACATGTCCTTTCCTTATTGGCTCTTTTGCCTCCTACTGTTCTCACTCCCTAACAGGGATAATTTAAGGGGATGGTCAAGGGTTGGCTAAGGAACAGACCCTGGGATCGGAGCTCTTCGGGGCTCTAAGAAGAGTCTACCTTACCCTCTTATGGGAAGGGAGACCCTAAAAAAACTCCTTTTCTTCCTCCTTTTTCTCCCCCATTATGTGGTCTCCCTAAGAGAACCCGATTGTCAGGGCAGCACACTGTGGGTTGATTTTACCTCCTTGCCAATGTAGCAATAAACAGATGCTGCCAAGGACAGAGGTTGGGGGAGTTAGCTGGGAGGAGAGTGGTCTCTGGAGAAGGGGAGAGTTTTCTCAACAGCAACCTGGGGAACTGGCTCCTTGTTTCAGAATGGCAGCAGAGCTGAGATTGATACCTGGGGTTCTCCTCAACGGCTCTGATTATTGAACCCCTTCCTGTTAGACCTACCCCTACCATCTCTTCTGTGTCTGCTGTGTATTTGGTGACACCTCATAAGGACCAGTCCCTTCTGAGGTATCAGAGCCTTAGGGTGCCACCATCCCCTCCCCCAGTCAGCTTTGGCACCTGTAACCTCCTAGAACATGAAGGACTGTGCTCTGAGGCTACACTCTGAGCCCATGAGAGCAGAGACTGGAAGGCGAGACCAGGTGCTAAGACGGGGAGAGAAGGGCACTCTGTCTCTCTCCAGACCATCACTGCACTTTAACCAGGGTCTTAGGTACAAAATCCTACTTCCTAGAGCCTTTCAGCTCTGGAACCTCAAACACCCTCATGCTCTCTCTCCCAACTCCTTTTGGATAAAAAAATAATAAATTAAAAAAAGAAAAAAATGCATTGAAACCCACATGGAGAAAAGAGGTGTTTTTCTTTTGTACTGATATTCAAAATCAACACCACACACACAAAATTTCTAAATAGACACTTTTCCAGACCTTTGTCTTTTTGTGTCTGTGTCCAAGCTGCAGGTGAGATTTTGTAGTGCTTCTGGCAGCTTCTGTCCTTGTGTAAATAATATATATATATATTATATATATTTTTAATCAGAAGTTATGAAGAACAAAAACAAAGAACAACAACAACAAAAAAACACTGACGCAAGTGCAATACCACCTCTCTTCTCCTTCCCAGGGTTTCATTTGTAGCCTATGCTTGGTGTCTCCTTGGACCTTATTCCTTCACCTCCTCCTCTTCCTCTGATTCCCCGCCCCCTTTTACTTTTAAAAGAGTTTTTCTCCTTTCTCGAGGGGAGTTAAACTAGCTTTTGAGACTTACTGCAAAACATTTTGTACATGTAATATATTGTAAGTAAATATTTGTGTAACGGAGATATACTACTGTAAGTTTTGTACTGTACTGGCTGAAGGTCTGTTATAAATAAACATGAGTAATTTAACACCCCTGGTTGTTTTTGCAGATTTCCTTTGCCTTGCTTTTCTACTGGGAGGAAGGGGGGGGCCTCCATGCAGCATGTTTTACTAACTACTAAACATTTTGAAGGTGAACAAGTCTAAGATTGAGAGGAAACCAAACAAGAATACTCAGATTCTTACTGTAGAAGGGCAGAAGAATTTTCAACCTAGAATGGGAAGTGGAAGAGATTTTCCTCCCAGGAATGCCCACAGGATAGGAGAGAAAGCCAACACACCTGTCCATCCAAACAAAGCAGAAACTTATCAGACATTTGTTGTTGAGAACCTACGACATGTAAAACACATTATATATCCAGGGGACACAAGTACAATAACATGAATGATGATGATAACAGGCTCTGCCTCTTTTTGAGCACTCATAAATGCCATGCACTGTGCCAAATGTTCACTTCATTGTAGAAGCAACCTACAGAGAAGTGATCGCGATTACTAGTGAAGAAATAAAAGTCCAAGACTCATCAGCCAATAAATGACAGAACCTGGATTTGAACCCAAAGATGTGTGATTCCAAAGTTTGTGCCCATACCTTTATGCCAGGGAATGTGGCTGGTGAAACTCCAGGCTCTAAAAATCCCAAGAAAAGCCGAGATAGGCACATTAATTTGGTTCTGTCTTACATATGTATTAAATATTTTGTCCTTTTCACTCAACCTTCTTCTGTTCCATCGACCTCGCTGTCAGTCCACATGGTCATAATGTCTGCCTTCCTGTTTCCATGAGACTATAATCAAGTGAATATTGGAGACACTTCCATCTAGAGTCTCATTTTCCATTACCCATTTAAAATTTTGATTATTTATTGATTTTAGAGAGAAACATCAATTTGTCGTTTCACTTATTTATGAATTTATTGTTTGATTCTTCTATGCGCCCTGATCTGGGATTGAACCTGCAACCTTGGTGAATGTGGACAATGCTCTAATCATCAAAGGTACCTGGCCAGGGCCTTTCCATTCTACATTGAAACTATAAAATTAAAAATGTGAGTTTAGCCCTGGCTGATGTGGCTAAGTGGACTGAGTGCCAGCCTGTGAACCAAAAAGTCACTGGTTCAATTCCCAGTCAGGGCACATGCCTGGTTTCAGGCCAGGCCCCCAGCTGGGGGTATATGAGAGGCAACTGATCGATGTATCTTTTGCACATTAATGTTTCTCTCCCTCTCTTTCTCACTCCCTTCCCCTCTCTCTAAAAATAAATAAAAATCTCTAAAAAAAGACAATAATAATAAAAATAGAAATATGAGTATAATTGTTTGAAGCCAAATCAAAAATTAGAAAATAAATTTTAACCCCAATAAAGTGGGTTAGAGGTTAGGAGAAACCATGGTGGATTGTTGGAAGGAAAGCAGGTCTGGTGAATTCAGACTCCAGGATAATTCATGAATGAACAAACAGTTGGTCTTCATCTATATCATCTTGGTCTGAATGCTGGAAGGTCCCCTTGACACCTTAGTTTCTTCGTTTTGGAGATAATGGGGTGATTGGCTGTGCATAGATAGCCACTCCTGCTCAAGCCTAGAAAAGATTTTCTCAAGGCTCTTCAGAGGAAAATGGAATGTATATATAAGAAAGTGTGTTTTAGCCCTGGCTGGCATAGCTCAGTGGATTGAGCGTGGGCCTGTGAAGCAAAGGGTTGCTGGTTTGATTCCCAGTCAGGGCACATGCCTGGGTTGCAGGCCAGATCCCCAGTAGGGGATGCATGAGAGGCAACCACACATTGATGTTTCTCTCCCACTCTTTCTCCTTCCCTTCCCCTCTCTCTAAAATAAATAAATAAGAATATTTTTTAAAAAGAAAGTGTGTTTTAGTTGGAGGCCATCAATTAGTGGTAAAATCACTTTAATGGGGCTTGGCCAGCATTTATTAAAACAAAATAGAAAATTGAACATACTAATGCAGCTTTTGTCATACAGGTATTGTTTCATGAAGTTTCCATTTATGTGTGTGTGTGTGTATTTGTGTTTGTGTAAGTATTTAGTACCACGTACAGTATATTTCTACTATGAATCTGAGTTAAAATTATTTAAGTCACTGGTCCAGGCTATATACCTCCATCCATTTTGTTTGCTGGGTGAGAGGCAGCACAGTATAGTGAAGCCAAAATACCTCTTACTAGCTCTGTGCGACTTTGGGCAACCTCAGTTTTAACCTCTCTACAGTACTTCTCAGTTTTTTCAATCTGTAAAGTGAGGATAGTAATAGTACCTATCTTATAGATTTGCTGAGGGTCAATTACATGAATATTTATAAAGCGTTTACTACAGTGCCTTGCACTGTGCTAATAAGGATCCAAGGGTAAAAAGGCGAATGAGAAACAGAACCAGCACCGATGCACTTGTCCCTGGTCTCTCGTTGTGGATTTTTCTCCATATTGGGATGAGGAATTAATAAAATGTTTTGTTTTCCTCAGGTCCTCCGTTTCTCAAACCTACACCAAGTAGCAGGGATGTCAGAGAAACGAGCCGGGAGCGTCCCCCGATGGCGTAGCACCCTCAGGCTGAGTGCTTGGGAGCAAGAGCCTGTCACCTTCGCACTACAACTCCCACAATGCATCTCTTTCCATCTGGCCTCAAATTAGGAGAGCGATCTGTGATCTTGCGTCAGACAACTTCCGTGCCTCAAGTCTCAAAAGCCGAATAATTATAACGCCCAGAATTACTTCCGGGTAAGGTGTCGCGATGCTTGCTGGGAAACGTAGTCTTTAATTTTCTTCCGCTACTAGGTAAAATAGTCCCATGGTCACATCGTACTACCAATAAATAAACTCGAGGAACCCTTTTTTTCTCTCCAGATTTCAGCGAAAACACTGAATTATAAAGGAAATTTAAGTACAGTGAATTACCGTTCTTGGCGTTCGTCAATTAAGGACTTTTCCGGAGTGAGTGTAGGGATCTCGCGCTATATAAGAGAGCCAGAGCGGAAGCCGGATCCTCTTTTGGGTCCTCGCTTCCAAGATGGTGAGTGCTGGCGCGTGTTGAGCGTGGGCTTAGGCTGGAGGTAGAGAAGAGCAGATTCCAGGATTGTGGGGGATTTGCGAGTCCAGTCTATGGCGGAGGGGTGGATGGAATGTATGGTTGCTTCTGGCTAGGAGAGATTTGCGAGGGACTGGAGATCTCACTGGCACTTTTCTGGGCGCTGCGGGTGTGGAATGTAGTCGGAAGGGGCTAAGATTGGGTAATTTGCGTCTCTTTCCTAACATGGTTTTTATTCTCATGCAGACGAAGAAAAGAAGGAACAACGGTCGTGCCAAAAAAGGCCGCGGCCATGTGCAGCCTATTCGCTGCACCAACTGCGCCCGATGCGTGCCCAAGGATAAGGCCATTAAGAAGTTCGTCATTCGAAACATAGTAGAGGCCGCAGCCGTTAGGGACATTTCGGAAGCGAGTGTCTTCGACGGTAAGCTTCCGGCCTGACCTGTGCAAGTATCCTAATACCCTCAGGCTTTGTTCACTGGAACATTCCTTGGAGGTTGTTGCGGGTGGAAAAGAACAGTGTCTTTGTTCTGGTTGCCGTTTCTAAGCTTTGGCTGGTTAGAGGGGGACTTCTGTGGTAGAACACAGTCTTTGCTGGTTTGTGACAAACTAAAACAAAGTTACAGTTTTTCTTAAAAAAAAAAATCTTTTCCGTCAGGGAATGGAATTCCAAAACCAGTTCATTCTGTAGCGACATTGGGGGAGCAATAGCTGTAAGCGTAGAATATGTAACAATTCCTTGGAATTGTTGGATATTTGAGTACATGTTGTGGAAATGAAACATACAAACTAAGTCTGAAAAAAATGTTTAAAGTAGGAGGTTGTCTAGTTTGGTTGAGAAAAGATGTTTTTGAAACAATATGATGTTTTGATCATTTCATTTCCTTAAGACAAACGGTTTTTAAGAAAGGACCTAGGAATAGGCATTAGGGCTGGTGCAACTGCTGAAGGAATTGGATGTTTGATTTTTTTCTAGGATGTGGTTTTGGTGCCCCAGGTGATGGGGTTAATTGGTAGGGCCGTATTAACTCAGTTGTGAAACTGCACGTGTGTTTAGGCATCAGAAATTGATTGTTTACTTTGAGAATGAGGTTTTGTAGGTATGTCTGACATTTAAGTACGTTTAATACTGTATCTGTTTTCTATTTTAGCCTATGTGCTTCCCAAGCTGTATGTGAAACTGCATTACTGTGTGAGTTGTGCCATTCACAGCAAAGTGGTCAGGAATCGTTCTCGGGAAGCCCGGAAGGACCGAACACCTCCACCTCGGTTCAGACCTGCGGTAAATATCTTAGAAAGGAGATGTGGGAGCTGGTAGGGAGCGAGGGGGGTGTACAAAAGATACATGAGGACCCAAGGATTACCTATGGTGAGGTCAGCTAAATCTGGGAAGGTGAGGTGGGACCCACACCAGAGTCACAAGAGAGTTGTTAGAAGAATTTGTTTTGGAATGGGTGGTGTGCTCTCCTTTCACATCTACCCATTTTTCATGCAGTTGTAACCCAAGTATATTAGTGTTGGGAGGATAGAGGTCAGGTTCTTTGAGTGGGGAAAGTCTTCATTTGGTGGTTTTTTAAAAATTATTTAAGATATTTACTTATTTTTAGAGAGAGGGGAAGGGAAGGAGAAAGAGTGGGAGAGAAACATCAGTGTGTGGTTGCATCTTGTGTGCCCCCTACTGGGGACCTGGCTTGCCATCCAACCATGTGCCCTCACTGGGAATCGAACTGGCAACCTTTTGCTTCACATGTCCATGCTCAATCCACTTAGCTATACCACCCAGGGCTTCATTTGCTGGTTTTTAACTTGTACTTTCTTGGTTTTTCAGGGTGCTGCCCCACGACCTCCACCAAAGCCCATGTAAGGAGCCCTAAAGGACTGAAGAAAAGTTCTCTGGAAAAAAATAAAATGGAAATTGTACTTTATATTAGCATGTTGCTTGCGTATTTGTTGCCAGAAAAGATGGGGGTCGAGTATGTCATAGGGGCTCTAATTG